GCATTCGCAAACTTGTGTGCAAGCAGTGTTTTGTTGGATCTCAAACATCCTGCAACTCGCACAGTTGTTTGCACAGTTGCTCGCCTATCAATCCAACTGGATCTGCAACTCTGTCAAGCAAATCCGTAGTGCAACCTGCTGATGTTGATGTGACTACAATAAACACGAAACTCACCGAAATAACACTTGCTGATCTGACAGGTCAATGAGTGACACTCTAACCATTAATACCAAACAAACAACGTTTTGAATCAACAATCAACTGTCATGACAATTGGTAACGTTCGTGGTCATTTGGCATCCATCTCAAGCCATCACATCAAACACATTTCCAAAATCGATTGCTGGACAACTCAATTCGGTGCACGAGTCCGCATTACTGTGCCAGAATTGTTAAACATTGGTAATGTGAAATATCATAAATAACGAGATATTTCAGACTCATACGCGACGCATATATGTTTGAGGCGATGTCTATCGCAGCCATCACTTGTGCAATAACAAGAGACTTTCTCAGCTATGACGTCTAATTCACGGATACGCATAACCGTTATCCACATTCTTATAAAATGATCAATGTTTTCTTTTATCAATAAACAACACAATTAACTCATTGGTTCATTCCTTCATTCTCATCTTTTACTTTTGTGATATTCCTCCAAAACTATACTACATTAATATGTTGTCATACGTCCAAGAACAACAGTATTGTTGTGGTGTAATATTAGCAACTACACACAACTTGACATGAATGACAATGTTGATGTCGAGACTGTCAATGTATTACAGTGTATTGGTCAACAGTGATTGCAATCAATGACAATATTGCAGTCAATCCAATCCAATTGTTGATTGGAACAATCATTATCCACTTGTCAGATTCAGCATGTAAATGAATGTTTTGTAACACATTTACTAATCCAACAATTGACTGATTAACAATAATTGAATATTAAAATGTTGAGTAAAAGACTCGAGTCATTATATGAATGACGTAATCAATTGAGTTGAATTGACACTCGATTGAACAATACAAATAATCACATGACAAATGTTTAATTTGATTTTAATTTCACACAAAATTGCTTAATATTCAAAGTGTGAATTTGTCTCACATTGTTCACGTGATATCGAGTTTTGAATGTGAGACAAATTCACGTTTTGATCTTTTTTTGTCATTTCATTGTTTCACTTTATTCTATATTCTATTCTATTCCTTTCCTTCATAAACTCCAAAATGGCCAGGCTTTATATTCAATACCTTGAAAACACTCCGGTATCATTATTTACTCAAAAGTTGCCTGTCCCTGAAGGAGAAGAGCCTAATATTTCTGACCTGGTTGCTGCTTTCCAAGCACTTCCCAACTCTCCTCTTGCTTCTGCTTTTGTTGGAGACCTCACTCTCCATTTTGTGGTGGATGGTCCAGCCGTTGCTGGGAATACTCTGTTGACCTCCATTCAGGAACCAGTTGGTTCTTACGACCATTCACTTGTCATCAAATCAAAAAATGATTCTGGTCAAAGTCTTGTTAATCGTCTTACAGTAGACGGTAAAGCACAAAATTCGATGCTGCCATTTAAGCTTTCTCGCAACCCTTTTGCTTATCTAAATGTTCAATATGTCCGGTTTGGTTATTGTAAATACCTTGCCGATACGTTGGGTGTACAATTGAACTTTGATAATCTCCCTCGTCGTGATTATGATGTGAACTCTGATTTTTTTCGTCAGATAATGGGAGCGCTTCTTAAAAAGGGGATTAAGCGTGTGGTATTTGATGAATCACAAAGACACCTTGGACTCATTGAATTCATTGTCAAGGAAGGTGCTAAACGACCTCACTTTATAATAACGGGAACTCCTCCTCATGGAAAAAACGCAATTGATTACGGAGGCAGCGCTTCAGCAAGAATGGCAGGGGTCAATTTATCGGATCTAAGACCTCCGGAAGTTAAACAACTGATACGAGCTATATTCCAAATTGACAAAATAAGCTCCATCTGTGTTCTGAACTTTTGGACTGTCTTTGGTGGCGATCCGTATCTTTACCAACTCTTTGCAAAAGACATGCTTGCTCAATTGGATAACGATACCAGATCCAAAATTGCTCTTGGCGAGAAATTTCCACAGGATTTACTACATAAGTGTATCGATGAAGCCAGAACAGCTCTTCGGGAAAGAGGCATCAGTGCTGATTTACTCAACGCGATTCCAACAACTGGTGTCAGCAGGATGGCTATTGAGCAAGATCTTCAAAAAGATGTTTCTCAACTGGTGAGACGAGAACTCTTGAAAGAGATTCCGTATTTCTCAGACTCTAAAAAATTTCGAATTTGTTGTACTGACTACAACGAAGGACCTAACATTGTTGAAAAATCTTGGGCTCGATGCCGGGGATACGCAATGGAAAATATTATTTGTAGCTTTGTAGGAGAGGCTCTTTTTCGTAAACTTGGAGATATTCTTAACCTCCCGAGTAATCGCTATGAATTATATGAATATTTTTACGATGGAACTGATGCTGATATACTTCTTCGTGAAAGGACACCTTCTTTGGGTGATATTGACAAAACTTGGAAGCGGCATTGGGTTGTTTTTAACATCAAAACCAGCAGTGATGCTCTCTTGAATACTGATTCCGTGCAAAAGTTCTCTGGGTTGTGCAAAGTTATTTCTATGAAGGAAAATGACCTTTTGGATAAGTGTTCATTGATTCTCGTGGCTGCTCAAATAGATGAAGCAACAAAAGAAAAGTTGCTGGTAACCTGGAAAGACTTTGATGTTCTCGGTGTCTACAATTTGGATTATTTATTTAGCAAGGTACCTGAACCCGCTGTCAAAATTATGCATAATTTGCTTGTAGTCGAACGAACGATTGAAAAGGAAATAATTGAAAAGACGCAACACGATACGATTTCTTTGTCTGGTAGATATCGATGCGGCAAGACTACTTTTTTGAAAGAATGTTATGGCGAAGATAATGGTTGTATTTTTGTTGAACTTCCGGAATACGAGATACAACCGCTTTCCTTGGAATTGAAACGAATTGAATGTAATTAATATACCAAAAGAAATGAGATTTTATCCATATTTCATCTACTTTGATTTTGAAACTTGGTTGAAATCAGTCAAATCTACGACCAACTTGAAGCTCATTCATTGAAACACACAAACTTTTGAGCACAAGTTTCATTGGAAGTGAAGAAAACAAGGCTCAATTCATCCCAGTTGAAGGTACAACTAAAGAAGCTTTGGATATAGTGATGACAAAAATGGATCAAATACGACACAAATATCTGCAATTGTTGTATTCAAAGTATTCTCGGTTCTTTGGAATGATGGCCAATTTGGACGATGCAAAGGCTCAAAAACGATTAAGATTACAATTACTAGAATGTTTTGATGTTCTTCCTATTTATGGCTTCAATAGCTCATCATATGACATTAACATCATCAAGAAATACCCTCCACAAGTCTTGAAACACTCTAAAAAACATGCAAATGTATCCAAATGCGAAAAGCCTTGGATTAATTCAATTGAAGGAGAATTAGATCGTAATATTGAACAATGCGAAAAGATTGAACGATACAATGTTGATGGCTACGATGAAGAATCAAACACAATATATGACTTTCTGGGATGCTTTTTCCACTGATGTAGAAAGTGTCACAAATCAGAAGATATCAATCCTTTAGCTGGAGATACGATGAACATATTGTATGAAAAAACAGCAAACAAGGAATCAGCTCTCAAACAATGGGATATACCACAAGATCAATTTGGAGTTGTGAGTTTCATTCAGCTGAAAACGGACAAGTGAATGACATTATTAAAGTAACAAATACCGAATGATATCAAATGGATCGTTTGCTTTTAAAGACATTCTTGCTTTTCAACCACCAAATACTTTATTTGACAAGTTCTTGAAAATGTTTGACACAATCACAAATGGGAATATTTCCACATAAAATAACTCGGAATTTATCGAAATACATTGATGAACACCCAGAGTTGACACAATATTCCAATAATGTCATTCAAGTTCTTAAAACACTCACATATTCCATCTAAAAAGTGGTTTTACAACAATCTAAAGGGAGAATCAGTTTCATCAAACGATTATAATGAAATGGTATTCACTCACACCAACCTGTACGATTTGCTGAACGACTACAACAATTTGGATGTGAAGCCAAGCGTAGAAGCGACAAAGAAGCTGGGTAATTTCTTTCAGTCGTTGAATCTTGATATCCACAAAAACAGCATCTTTGTTCCTAGACTCACTCTGAAATATCTCTGGCACACAAAAAGCAAAGACTGCAAGTTTCAGTTATTCAAAGGGAATGAAGAATTGTACCACAAATACAGAGATAATCTGGTTGGTGGTCCAAGTATCGTATTTCATCATTATCAAGAAAAAGACGACCAGAATTAGAAAAGGAAAGCTTTGTCAGGGAATACTTGGATATGATACCAATGCTTTATATCTGTGGGCGATAAGTCAAGATATGCCGTGTGGTGAGCACCAAGTAGTTCAAGTTTATCCCGATATTCTGAAAGATGTCTTGGATAACAGGTTCTTTGGAATGATAGAATGTGATATTGCTGTTCCTGAGCATTTAAAGGAATACTTTGCTGAAATGCCTCCCATATTCAAGAATGTTGAAATTACATGCAATTATTTAAGCTTTGACACAGGCACATGTCAAACCAGATCACAAAAGTAACAGATTAGTTGAAAGTATGTTTGGTGAGACGATGATGTTTGCTACTAAACTGCTGAAATGGTATCTTGAGCATGGATTGGTTGTTTCAAATATTGCTTTTGCTGTAAGATACATACGTAAAGCACATTTCAAGTCGTTTTCTGAGCAAGTATCAAATGAGTGAAGAGTCCGAGATACAAGTCCTGGTTATAAATTACGTGGAGAAATGATGAAATTGATGGGAAATTCATCTTATGGTAAATGTATCACAGATTTCTTGAAACAGGAAACAGCCAAGATTGTTACTGGAGATAACTACATCAAAAACATCAGAAGGAATAATTACATTGAACATCAAGACATGAACAAAGGATGCGAGTTTCGTTTCAAAAAGATGTCGTTCAAACAAAGTTTACCAATTCACATTAGATTTCAAGTGTAT